TTTAGGGTTTGAGGTTTAGGGGTTTGGGGTTTAGGGTTGAGGGTTCTGAAGCTGGGGAGGACCGTGGGCGTTTAGGGGTTCAGGGTTTAGGGTTTAGGGTTTAGGGGTTTAGGGGTTTTGTCTGTGGGTTTTGGGGTTGCTGTCTTTGCTGCTTTTGTAGGCGAGGGACACAGCAAGTAATTCGAGTGATGTACTGTGTATGTATATACTTATATGTTTACACGACATACAATCTGTCATGTTATACAAGATGGACATCTGAAAAATATAGATATACACACATACACACACGCACATGTACTTAGACTTATAAACCCGGCTTACAACGTTCTCCTGATCCAAGGATCCAAGCAGGGCTTTATGCTTCGGTGCTTTGGAGTTCTCGGATGTCACAGCATTTTGGGGTGACGGCGTAGGTTTAGGGTTTAGGGTCTGGGCAAATTAGGAGTTAGGGATTAGGGTTTAAGGCTTTGTTTGGGGTTTGGGTTTCGGGTTTAGGGTTTAGGGTTGAGAATTTCCCAGAGACTCCAAAACCATTAAGCAAGAACCGGACTGCCTCAAAGCATACTAAGGAACCCCGAAGCTCTAAACCCTAAACCCTAGAACCCTAAACCCACTAGTCACTCAGGTTCCCAGGTTAGTTTACTGTGAAGTTTATTTATTCCTTTCTTAAGGTGTTTTGGAGCCTCTGGGTTCAAAGTCCAGGCTTCAGGTTGTTGGCTTCAGCAACTCCTAGTGTCTAGTTTCGAAGCCTCGAACCCTAAACTTTTCAATCCCGAAGCCCGAAACCGCCTATCCCTGAACCTCATACCCCTAAACCCCCAACACCTCGAAACCGAGAACCCTGAACTAATAAACACAGGTCCTGCGCTGGCATGCAGCCGAGCCAGATGCCTGACAGCCAGTCCTGTGGCGAGGTGGCCTGAGATGGTGGGGTTTAGTGTTTGGGATTTAGACTGTCCCCGTTTCTCTGAACTTATAGTATTGGTGCTCCAACCGGAGTTTTAGATGCGTTAAAGTCCTACAGAGACCTCATAAAGACCTGTAGCTGGAAGTGTATTCCCTAAAACCCTAAACCCAAAGCCTTGCCTCAAACCCCATACTAAAGTCTGCTCACTACGCCATCAGATCCTTGAAAGGCATCAGACAACAACAAACGTGTAGGGTTTAGGGCCAGCCTCAGTTGCGGGAACCGAACCCCTATCCTCTGTAGTTTATCATCATCCTCAAAATAGACAAGAGGGTTAATATATATATATATATATATATATATACTACTATTGTAGAATTAGGTCCCCAAAACCATAATAAGTATGGTCTTTGGGGACCTAATTCCATGACGGTACTGTATATGGACCCTCTGAGTAGGGCTTACATGGCATGTTACAAGGGTTTGTGGTTTACGTGTTTGGGGCTTCCTAAACGCAAAACCCTAAACCCTA